TTTTCTGGTAGAACCTATATCGACTATCACCATTCACCACGCATGTGCGACGTTTGAAAATCTTAAATCCGTGAGACAATTATTCTCATGTCTGAACTATTATTCAATATTAAAATAAAAAAACAATACAAATTAAATAACAGTACYGCAAACGAAAAATAAGTTTTCGATCCAACCATCGCCGACACGAGAACTCGAATATACTCAAAGTTTGTAAGAAAAACATAGGAATTCCCAATATTAATATTAGAATAATTTATAAATCAYAATACTAATATTATTATAAAGTTCCGGATTAGAATTTGAGCAGCGCAAACGTCCTTCATCAGGTGTATAAGGCGCATATTTACATGACTTATTATAACATAATATGATATTGGCACTTGTTTCGATTTTCGTTTTAAACTGGTTTCGCCGCGGTCGACAATGTTGATATAATAAATAAAAATAATATTATAATACACACGCTTATGTATGTACAAAAGTATTTACTGGGACGTAACGTACCTAATTTATGTTGACGAAACGGGGTTATTATTTTAAAACGATTCCCAGTATACCGACTTCTACTATTCGACCGAGTTAAGGCGAATATTTTTACGTCACATGGCCGTCCGCTGACAAATAATCGTATTTACTTTCCGTGAACGCGGTCATTAGGTAGATACTTATAATTTTTTTTTTTTACATAATATATTCCTGCGGTGGAATACCTGCTGCATTACGCACGGTCATCGTTTTCTAAGCTAATTGACGCTTAATCGTCGTGTTTTTGTAGAAATAATAAGCGCATTACGTTCAATAATTAATCACTGCAATACTCCACCAGGCAGATTTTTCGCGTGCGAGCTAAAAAYTATTTTACGAGACATTAGGCAGGCAATAGGCATATAGATAGACATTTTTTTTAGATGAGAGGAGATCCCTCCGCAAGCATAAGTAAAGTGACCCTATCCAAGTCAATGCATTTAGGAGTTCGGAGCGAGGGAAATGGTCCCGATRTTTTCATTATTATATTATTATTATAGGTATTAAAATTAAAACTTTTAATGTTTTTGAGAATCTTTACACGATTTAAAAATATTACCCAGATGATATCACGACTCACGAGGAGACTTTTCATKATCCTCCAAAAATGATTTCATATAATTAATGATACGTAGGTAATATTATAATGACGGTTATGTAAACAAAAAATTATTTTTAAATGTAAATTTACATAATATTATTAACCATATTGAATATAATTTGTGTAAAGCATTAACAGTTTATATAAATGTATATATTTAAAAATTAAAATTAAAATTTAGTCATGTTAGGTTTATTTTAGACTGTAGCATATTATCATCATTATACAGTTAAAACATTGTCTAATATTATTCTAAAATAATTTAATATTGAAGGCATGAGGACATGGGACAGTCGAAGGGAGGTAATGTGATTTTAGGGAGCTAAGCACCTCCCACAGATGTCAGCCAATGAATATCATTGCATATAGTAATATTGTATGACTTATGGTAATGGTATAATATACATATAAATATAACTTGTATAATAGTGGTATCGTAGTAACTAGTTACTAAATTTGAGTCAAGTTCAGAATTATCCCACGCGATTTTCAAATATAATTGGTCTATACACATATTATGTAGGTGTGCAACACGCTCGATGCAATAATATTTTAATAGGTAAAAACACCGAAAAACGTTTGAAATTGTTTTTGTTTAGAAACTTATAATAACCCAAACACTGAAGATTTGCAAGGAAAAGTGTATCACACATTATTATTAATATTCTTCAGCCGCGCGGTTAAAAGTGTTTTGTTTCGTGTGAAATGTGAATAGCACACAGATTTCGTTTTTAAGACGTTTCTGAATTAGATTTATTATTTAGATGTTCGTATCTAGATTTTTCTTTTGGAACCGAGACGACCCGGATGTTGCACTTATATATTTTATTTGCATGTGCTTTGCACGCGTAGGCAATACCTATATGTAAAGTCGGCAAATATATTAAATTATATTATTCACATGRTATAGTGTAAAGTGTTACGAAACGCCAAATTGGCGTTGCATATATTTTTACCTTGCTATGTTAACGCCTTAAATGCAAATTATTGTGCCATTGTGTGGTTTCAAAAGAGTACAATATACTAATATACAGATAAAACATTATTGCGAATTCCTAAAGAGACTGATATCCACTAACCGAACGTATAGAGGACATGTAAATGTGGTTGTGTAATTACTGCATTGTATGGCTTTTTTGTGCCTGACTGATGTCAAGTTTAAACAGAGAAATTTATAAATTAAATCTTGCAATTATTGGCGTATAAACTATAAAATTAAAATCAAGAGTATATATACTATTATTTTATTAAATACGAGTAGAGCCGATTTAAAGGTACAACAATCTTGTTCGAAGTATACATCAAATTGTTTTTTTTTCAAGCTGAATTGCTATACGCATATACCAGTATTATGATTTTTGTGAATGTATATTATTTTATTATACATACCAATGGTAGATTAGAAATAAAAGCTAATCAAGCGAATCAAGATACAAAAATACTGTCAATTATCTACTGATAATTTTATTTTTATTTTTGAAATCTAATAACTAAATGTTGGAATTTTGTTCCAAATATTATGTTCATTATGCCTGGTATTATACATAATGCACATAATATTTAAAAAAATATATTTCCCGATTGTACTTTTCATCATTTGTGATCCACAGTGACGTCATTAMTGTGGGATTCAAATAGTTCAAATAGTATGCATTTATCGTCCGATCGGCTATTTTTTATTTATATAATATTATACAACATAGGTACATAAATATTGGAACATAAAATATTAATATTATTATTCATGAAATAATGTGATGCCACTGTGCGTCTATACTATCTAATTTGTCGAAACAAATAATAGTAATAATATTACGCATTGAGTTAGTTGAACAACAAATCAGATAAGCTTAGGCGTGAAAATAATTTCCATATATTAAAATCCGAATATTTAATTAAAGAATTAAATACAATACATGATATGAATGCATACCSCATATAGTTATAACATATTATAAACATCAATATATTATTTACATCGTGTCCATTGTCTATAAAGAACACGGTTTTTATAAATAACTAAATTATACCAAAATTATACGATAAATAAAATTCAAAGCCTATGGACATATAATATAGGTACCTAAGTATAAACAAATATTTATAAGGGATTATATTATTTAAAAATTATAAGACAATTCAATATGTTAAACTAAAGACAATTTTGAGCAATATAATATTACGTTTATATTACACATAATTTACCGATAAAACATAAAACACAGACATAGAGTATGTGCCAAAAATCAATAATAAATAGTGCTGTTCGTGAAGAACATATTAATACAATAATTCTTTAATTACCTATACCAGGAAGGCGTGAAATAAAACAAATTTTAATTTGAAATTTCCTTATCGACGATTTTAATTGATAATGATAAATAGTACCACAATATACAAAAAAAAATAAGAAATTTATTTAGTTGTTTTATTAAATAGGCATCCCTTTCATACTTAATATTATATTTTTTCTCTGAAAAGAGTTGAAAATTGATATTTAATTTATAATCTTAAATAGTGAACTTAACATTACGTGGAACCCCATCGAATAAGAATATTCGTAATCCCAAGGACGTGTTATACAACTACACCAAAGGTGAATACAACATTACAATTTACAATATTTTAATAAATTATATTTTTACACAACTTATATAGGTACTTGGAATTTTTCAGTGATTCAGAGGAAATTTTAATATTTTAAAATTTCAAAGTTAATAACATGCATACCATAATATATTTTATGATTGGTCGAATTATAAACTGCGAACCAGATTGATTTTTAAAATTGTCGAGGTGAAATTATTTATTAAACTTGACATACTCGTACTACCTAGTGAATAGTTGCTATAATAATAATATATATAATTGTTTTAAGCTGGAAAGGGTTAAACATTAAAACATTTGTTTAATTGAACATTGGTAGTTAKTCATACCTATAAATAAATTAAGCAGTTCGTTACACTAACCATTAATCAAATATGGTAATATATTCATTACATAAATTATTATACGTAGAGTAGCAAGTAGCTGTCAAAGGACAAACAAAGCATAATAGCTAATAAAGTAATAACTAATAAGTAACGAAAAACATTTTGATATATTAAGAACCTTATTTTAATTTTTAAATATTAAGCAAATGATATCATATAATATATTAGGCATAATGTACTGCATAACATACTACCTAATGAGTTATTCTTATAAAAAAATGTAGTTATGTCATAAAAGTATATAGATAAAATTATACGTCATAAACAAAATATTATACAACAATGGATAGATTTACGAAAACAGTAATTGATATATTATAATAATATGCAACTTCAATACAAACAAATGTAAAATTACGTCAAACGATTTTGTAAAAAAAATGCATGAACGCCTGCAGTTTACAAGTAGATTGAGCACAAGAAGTCAACGTATTTTATATTATTCGCTGCCAACACATAAACACATAATACATTTTAAAATAAAATATGTCTTTTTAAGTAAATTCACATAGAAGTAAAAAAAGTTTTCAATAACTAATTATCCATGTAGTTCACAGTTTGGAGTGTTTATTCATCGGTGGCTTGGTTTATTTTAATTATATAACTTCTGGAGGATAGTGAGTACATATACCATATAACATACGATCTCAATGATATAGTAAAGTATAAATTATATATATGTATTGCGTTACTCTATAATATATKATTTTAGTAAATCATATTAATGGGCTTGAAATGCGTATAAAAACAATCATATTATTATGATTTATTAGGTACATCAAAATTAATAACACCATATATTGACTATTAATTATCGAGTATTCATCAACAAAGATTATTACACTATCATTTTGCAAACGGTAACTTATTTGTTTTACCTGTATGACGAAGGAGCCGTGATCATCACGATTTTACGATTGTGGCCGGAGGAACACTTAGCCAAGACACAGGTGTATTGTTCTGGCGTTCAGTGATCCAAATTTATGGGCTATGACCTCAGGACACAAATGGAGATTATTGCACGCRCCAGATTACACAGCGACACAGAAATACTACAAATAATAGAAAATAAATTTTTTTTTTAAGTGGTAAAAGTGGTATTAGTCAACAAATTGTATGCAAAACACAATATGTATTATAAGTACTTAAATGGCTAAATTTCACTCTTTAAAATACAATGTAACTTTCATTCTATATTTTTGCAACAATGACTTTTGCGAAGATACCGCCGAGGATATATAATGTATATAGGTACTACAGGAGTGYTGACCGTGCTTTATTAGTGCTTTATTATTTTGGCCAAGTAAATAATATTTGTCGACTGTATTTTATTTTTTTTTAGTAATGAATTTTAGGCACATGTAACAAGCCTTCAAACAGTTGTTTTATTCACCCGGACGTTATTTATTACCCCAGTATTGTGTGCAAATGTTTTATGTTTACAAATCAATAATATTTTTCTTTGTTGAATACTAATACGCATGGTGCATATATTATTACCTATAAAGTTGTTATCAAAAACTATAAAATCGCGTCAACGATAATAATATTATAATATGTGATAATATCACGTACYCAATATACTTACAGTTTTATCACAAGTGAAAACATTTGTACATTTTGTACCAATACCTACGTAATATATTATTATGCCAAACGCAATAAATATAGTGGGACCTACTTGACAGTTTCAATCCGTGTTGAACAATTATAATATATGCGGTACACTAGCTGCTATATCATTACTCGTACAAGGTGAAATAAAATGAGAGTTCAAAGACTGGGTTTTTGCCAAGCCAATTTAAAAAAAAAAAATGTGATATTATATTTTCTACAAAAAATGTAGTTTAAAAAAATGAAACGATATATTATTGTGTACACTGTACCTATTTGAAATACTTAAGGGTTGCCCGAATATAATATTATTATACGGGCGTATAAAAAACGTTTCCGCCTTTGCCATAATTCACCGGATCTCTGATCGAAAAATTTTCATCTCTGTAGACAATTAATATGAATATTGTAGGTAYTGGGTACCACCGGTAGCCCATCCCATTAACGCATACAATATTATACATTGTATTTAAAAACGTAAAATAATAATATATACCACCCGCGATACACCAAGGACAGCCTCTGTACTGAACCAAATCACGCAATCATTTTGATGCATTGCTCTTATTCTTTTGTGTGTGTTTATAAATATAAAATAAAAGCAAGGGATACATAGGTGCACGCGTACTGCAACATTATATTATATACTATACATACATACGCCCATTACGATATCCGGTATTTTATAATTTTAGTTTCAAGTTGCGTACACATTTTTTACACACTAATGGGTGCACTTCCCCTTTACGGACACGCTACACTGATTAAACCGAATCGGAAGTAATGTAGGGGTTTTAAAACACAAACGCTCTTAATTGGTCATATTATACCCGTGTTAAATGACGTGCGGACATTAGATACGGATTTATACTATGCACGGACACWACTATCAATAGTAAATCCAACCACAGCTGGTGGTAGTGTCACGGTCATGTGCGAAAAAATCAAAACTCGGAACGTATCCTGCGTAAATTATATAATTTTATAATAATACATTCTATATAGACAATTTATTGAACAAACATTTCAGTACAAAATAATTAATATTGTTAAAACTAATAAATATAAATCAAAATCGTGATAAACATGATATATTTAGGTACCATAAATTCAAAGTTAGAAAATCAAGTTGAATAGATACTTATTTTGGATAGATAAATGTTTATCAAAGTTCACAATACAGTTTTTAGCATTATTATTAACATACGAATAGAAAAAGTGAAATTTTAACTATCAATACAATATACACGTATTTCGTAAAGTGTATAAAATATCAACGTTAAAGCAGAATAAGTAGATATTTTATAGGTCATGGGGAAAAGGTACATAATTGTATATTAATTAGTAAATAGGGTATTTTTAATAAAATGTAAATAGTAAATTATAGCAAAAGATAAAATCAATGTAAAATTAAATTTTAAATACTTGAGGTTGACAGGTTCACTTATATCTTGTCAATACTGATATAGATATGTTTCTGATTGATCATATTATATATTACATGAAAATTTTTCAAACCGATCGATAATGGATCGAAAAAAAATTAACCACATTTATTTTTTGTAAAATACTCAATATAAATAAATTATGTTATTACTTATTATTATTATATGATTGAAATTGTCGAATATATTTTTTATGGWGAACTCGTGTAAAAAAAAAATTATATCTATCTACAACATCACTACACATCTGCAAATATCACACACGTCTCCAATATTGTTATCTGAATATTTTATACTTTACTAAGTATAGTGCGTAAAAATTAATTCGTATGTTAATCTTGAAAGATGTGACGTTATGCAATTGCGTGTACACTAAAATGTGTATACACAACAAATTATAAATGGCTAAAAAAAGTGTTGATATCATTATTTAACAACTAACAGAATAAACAAATATTATTATTATTAAAAGATCAAAGAAACATCCATTATAACTAAACATACAAAATACTACGATATCATTATTGAATACAATGGTTTATATGTTCGATTTGATGTACTTCATCGATTCATTCGCGATTCTATGTTGAACGCACAGAAACAATTAAATATAAATGCATATAGTAGTAATATAATAGTAGTCAAATTTAGTCGTAGTCGTTGACCCTTGTCATGATAAAATATTTATTATTATTATTATTATTAAAACATGATTAGCCAAATACTAAATAATATTAAATGAATATTTTAATAGCTATTACAAAATGAACATGTTGTTATACGGGTAAAATACCGGGCGAGTTTTTTCTTATAATAACGATAAGACGTGGGTGGATGTAAAAAAATATTGTACTTAATTTTCTAAAACACACTTCACACTTGACAGCTGAGATGTTTGACAAGCGATTTACCGAAAACGACAAACATATATATCATAATTTATATATATATATATTAAGTGAACCCAACTAAACGCATTTTTTTCATAAACATTAAAAACAATAAAATGAAAGTTATTTCTAAACAAACAACAATCGTGCACCTAGTTAAATAAATGACAACCGGCAGGGAATAATAAGGATTTTCCGGTTTCATAGACCAGCAGCCGGAACACAACGCCCTTGTGTTTCAGCTTCAATAAAGATCTCGGGACCAAAACACCAGCTGCTGCTAGCTTCAATTAATACTACCAGTGATCTAACAACGTACTTGTATACAGGGAGTTTCACAAATATTTAGACATTTATTTTATAGCGATGGTGAAAATGTGAAACCTATATCACGCCACGCGTTCCGAGATTGTAGGGAATCACTGTGGGACATCCTGTACAGATAAACTGTGTTCAATCTAACAGCATGRAGTTACTAAAATATTGAAGATAATAATGGAAGCACGACGTTTAATGTGTGTACTAACTGTACTATAATAAAGTAAAAAAGTACTCTGCATCAAGTATACAAAGTTATTATAAATTATATACAAAATAAATAACTTTATATATATTATTATACTAAATATGAAGTTTTAAATTTGAAAATTTAAAAAATGGTCCAATCAAAATATATAATTAATTATTACCGTTTTGTTTCTTATTATTGTTGAATTATTGTATATTACGTACATTATAATTTATGTATTTTTTATATTACATAAATTAGACATATAAGTATGTAAGATTATTATTTATAAATACAAATATTTATATATACTTTAAATGATGCATAATAATARCATACACCATAGCAAGCGTAAGAATTGTTAATATCACAAACATATTAGAGTACAATAATTGGAAATAAAATGTGTGAATATCGTACAAATGCGATTGTACATTTTTAACTCGTTGACTTTAACGAGATCAGTTCTTATAAGACATTCCAATTTAATATAATTAAAACACTTCTTAATCAACACTAATAATATACATGAGAAATAGGTTAAAACAAATAACAATTATAATAGCTAACTTTCATACATATTTAAATTTTGTTTTCTCAAACAAATTGATTATAGTCATTTTTTGAACTAAAAACAGTTAAATAAAATAATTTTTAAGGAACTACCCCTAATAAATTCTAAAATAAATTATGTTATTTACTAAATAATAATAATAATAATAATAAACAACAAACTAGGTATACCTCTTGTTATTAAAATATAATCGTACGGCCGACAAATTTTGAAATAGTTTCATAATGGGTACTATAATATTCCTACTAAAATATCTAATTATTACTCAACAGCTTTATAACGATTATTAAATTAGTTTTTTGATAAAAAATACATATTATCAAATATCAATACCAGAGAAAATCACATGGGTGTATTAATATCAGTAATTACTTACATCCCACGGACTAGAAGCCTATTGGTAAGCGTGGGTAGCAAATATAGACGAAACATAGGTGTATAGGCCATTTGGCCCCAATAAACAAATACTTTTAATGACTTGAAAGTATACATAATAATTATTATGACAGAAAAAGTTTTTTTTTTTTAATGTTAAATATTTGTTATGCYTAAGAACATTTATGAAGCAACAAAAACGTTAAATTTTGAATAAATAACAAAATTAATATGTTAAGAAATACCGAAATACCATAGCAGTATAATAAATTATAATATATAAAATATTTAGGTTCACTGTGTTGTATATATCTAGTAAAAGTGGAAGTCTAATCGGGGTAAAAATAGTAATACAAAATTAATTTAACAAAATAACTTAACAAGAACAATGGTTAATATTATCTCGGTTAATATTGTTGTATATTAATCTTCATAAATTTAKTTATAATACATATGTATAAACTATTAATGAATAATGGACTACAAAAATAATATTAAGCTCATGCAGTTATCCAATACATCGASAATTAGCCATTAGGTCTATATAAAAAATAGAACATTTTATAATTTTTGTTAAAAATAGTTTTATCTTTTATAATAATCGATAAATTAGGTACCTACTAACCGGGGACAATTTTGTAAAAAAAAATGTTACCTGTAAATGCACGGATTTTCAAATGTTTAGAAGATACTTGAATTTCAGAAAAAAATAATACATTATAAATAATCAAATTATGTTTTGTTACGTAAAATATAATTAATTACACTCAATGCGATAATGCCTATTGTTAATGAACACGTGTAATAACAAAATTAATTTTTCAAAATTGTAAAAAACAAATTATAATGATAAAATGAATATGGTTCTGACTGATATTATGACGTAATGAATATTTAAAATCATTTTTAATGAACAAAGATATATCCTGGTTTGAAAGCAACAGATGTTTCGTTAATTTCTCGTTAATTAAAACAACGAGCATAGTGAAGTATAATAATATAATATTATGTACTGCCTACACAACAATCAAACGTACGTATAGAGCTCTATTCATCGAACCAATTCGTAAAAGCAATGAAGCATACTATAATATTATATTATAAATATCATTATTACGGCACAATTTCCAGCGGCTGCCGACTAATAATATTTATAAATATCTATAAATGCCCACGATATTATATTGTACTTTCATCACGATAATAGATTAATATAATATTATTATTTTCATACTCAGCCGCCGTGTATTATTGTATATCATAATAGTATGATGTGTACCTGTGTAGACGGAATGAAAATACTCAAAACACAATTGCTCACATTCTTCACAAGGCCGTAGATATACAGCACTAATGTCTAATACGAAAAAAATTACCCTGGAATCCGGCGTAAAATCTAACTGACCATATGGGGGGTTTTCACGGCCCGGTGAACCCGAAAAGAATTTTCACTGTTATTTTGTATAACACCGTTTATTTATTTATTATTTTTTTTTTTCAAGACGTGTCATACACTCAACACGGAATGTGGGAAAAGAGATTTTTTTTATCGCACGGAAATATATATTTATATCATTATAATAATGTGTACCGACAAATATACGGCGGCGACACTGGGTGATTCTTTTATCGAAAAACGATCATTTTTTTACTCAACTAATTATGAAGTTTTTTACRCTTCTTAATGACAACATCAACTATAACTTTTTATTCACGATCAGAATATTTTTCTGGGCATATTTCAATGCATAAAAATCGAATAGTGGACTACTAGTTTTTGAGTAATAACTAATAAGTATCTATTTAAAGTTTTAGGTTTCCAACTACCCAACCAAACGAGAAAGAACTACTAGTCCGAGATTTGATTCTTATATAACCAAATGATCCGGATAATATTCTGCTTTGGAATATTTTGAGATAATAGCGATACTACAGCTTTCTTTTGCAAAACGTTTTGTTGACGACTTAAAATTAGGTAGGTACAGGTATAATATATGTTAACATTTTCAAAAAGTTTATTTTGTGTAAGCGGGTGTTCGATATAAATCTATCGACCCTCAAGGGATTAAAATATAATAATATGTACAGTAAGATGCTGCGGTAGACGTTCGAAATAAAATGCAATTACGTCTCATTACACGAAAAATAGTCTCGGGGAGGGGGAGGAGGAAAACGAAATCGACAATAAATAAATCGGTAGGTTACCTGCAGGGCTGGTAGTGACGGATTTCAGTCGTACGCGGAGAAATGCTGGTGAGGCAGAAACTCGTAGTAACTAGTAAGTACTCGAAGCGCCGGTGGCGGAGACTGCGGTGACGACGATGACGGAGGCGAACCGCGACGACGACGACAGACRCGAACGGACGACGGACGGGCAATGAATCACTGAAGTCTGAAATATCCTCGCGTGAACAAACCATCCGGTTTCGAACGAAACGCACATGTCGGCCGGAGAGGCGCCGCCACCGCCGACAGCGCCCCAGTGCGGCGACGCCGAACGCCCGAAACACTATATTATTATAATAATATTATTATTTTCGTATTACGACGATAACTATATCATTTTGCTTTTGTTTTTCATTGATCTCGTATTCTCTTGTCTGCACTTTGTCGATTTGTTATATTAAATTTTTAAAAATGCAGATTTCAAACGCATTTTTGAAATAGAAAAGCACAAAAAAAAWTCGAGCACGGCATGCCATATTATATCAGAAGCCGAGAAAACCAGAGTTTGGGGTCTTTTTTTTGTTGAGTTTTTGGAGTTTAGATAAAAATCGCGATCGAAATGAGTGACTGTTTATTATTACTCATCGGCTGTCGTTCCGATTGTGCAGGAAAATAATACTGTTGTTGAAACTCAAATACTCAAGTATGTTATTCAATCTTATCGGTTATATTATAAGTATTAATATATATTATTATACAGTTTGTGTATCAAAAAATAAAGAAAGAGCAAAATTTGTTCTCACGTACTATACTAATATCAGTGTTTTGATTTAATAATAATCTTATTATTTATTATAATTTATAATATAAACATTATTTATTTAACAGGAAATTCGAAACCAATTTCAGATTAAAAAATGTATAAATGTAAAGCAAATCATAAAATATAGGTTCCTACACCAAAAACCTAGAATAACAAAAATATGCAAAATACAATTTTGTATTTATACATTCAGACCCTTCAGTTATTCCTTATTTTATATTACGAAATTAATTTGTATCATTCATGTTATAATAAAATTATGATGTTGTATAGATTCCACAACAACTTGCAAAAATTCTATAAAATCAGACTGAGTTCACCACGCTCGTTAAAAAAAATAATATATAAGTATTTCATAATTACCTACATATCATATCGACATAAAACATTTGAATATTTGATATTATATTATAATATAGGTAGTAAAAAGGTGCAAAGGTGGGTTAGTTAATGAAAATAATTAACCTGTTACTTGAGTTAAGTCAACGTAAGTAGCTTATGATGTTAAGTTATAAATTAGCAGTTAACAAACAATATGATATTCAAATACTTAAATCTAAAAGTTTAAACTTAAAAGGACGTTACACGGAGAAATTTGTTGTCTTTATCTAACCAGTGCGTAACATACCAAATTTACACTCAACTGAGATCACGTTTTGCTTCTTGAATTTAARCATTACAGTGAATCGACCTATTATGAAATTTGATGGTAATAACATTATCTGTGTTTGTATATGGGTTCTATGATAATTCAGTTTATAAGTCAGTTATGAGTATTTTTAATTTACGCTATAATAATAATATACACGAAAACTTACTAAAAAATGTAGCAGTTGAAAAATAAAATAAATACATAGGTAGTCACAATTTTTTTTTTTACAAGCATTCAAATTTTAATTTTGACAACATACGTAAAAATCACGAAAATTCGCAAATTATTTTATGCTATAAATTCATAAAAGTTTTTCTTTTTAAATCTAAGACTTGAAATTTACCTAAATACAAGGCTCCTAACATATTTTTACAATGCAGTTGAAAAATAAAAGCAATATATAGGTAGTCACAATTTTTTTTTATGAGTATTCAAAGTTTGAATTTTGACAACATAAAAATTTTTCTTTTTAAATCTAAGATTTGAAAATTTTTAATAATCTATAATATATCCTAGACAGATAAACCGTTTCCGCTCAGAATCGTTTTTCGTATACAATGATATAATATCATTGGATTCAAATTAAATTCCATCCATTACAGTAACCCACTTGTAACGTACTGTACAGCAGAGCGACATCCACTTTCCCGCTTTTTTTTCTTATTATCACCCGGGTCACACTTGCACTTTATAATACAATATACTTATTAATATTGTCAAATTTTYAAATTTTTTTAAAATAATAATTAGGTAACTAAATGCGTATTATAGTAAAATAATACAAAATTAAAGGCAGCGATGCACACCTAATTCTTTCTTATATCTAATTATTTATTGCGCACCTTCTTCAGGAAGTAGGCAGGTAATGGTTATTAATTATAAGTTATRATCTATAGTAAACGATAACGTTATGTTAAACTGTCAACTAAATCAAAGGAATATTTTTAAAATATATTATAAAATCCAAACACGTTGCACTAAAATCTTTAAGCCTAAAATAATTCATATCTTTTATAATTATATATATTTATAATTCATATTCGTTCCTATATCCTTCATGAATATAATTTTCGATTTATCCTATTGAGAAAAAGCACAAATGCTACAAAGGCTATAGTTCGGAAAGACGACTATTTAAATTCGTTAAACTTTGCTGACCTTTTGATTTTTGTATACATCGAGCACGTTGTAATGCAATCTGTAGAACCTGCAATATTGCGGTGTAAAATATAGTGATATAGCCCACTGTAATCGATTCGATATCGTAATATCGTCCAAACGATCGACATAATTCATTGCATGCAATTTGAATCGGATAGCGAAGTTAACACACGAATAATTACGCTCATGTAATGCACGTCATAATGCAATCATCTATGCCGCACCACGATAATCTGACCGATGTCTGAACTTTTGTATTTCTAATCATGGCAAACGGACCATTTATGTTGAGACTAACACAACACAGATATAGTTTTTGGGAGGARATTTGGATGTTAATTTACTGAAATAAATAAAATATAATATATAATGTAAACAACTTTACTATACTTAATAAGTTGCAATTGCAATAGTATACCTATAAAACTTGTAAGTAATATTATAATATTACGATAGTCATAGTACCCATAGCTATATAATATTATATTACGATATTAAGTTTATTATGGTAGGGTAAGAAAAAGAAAATACGTAGTTTCCTCATGGGAAAAAAATTTATAAACATTTTACTGTATGATWACACAACCTTTAATATTATATAATTTAAAATTTGGTTGCAAGTGCTTAAAATTTAACATCTACTGCAACTGAATGCCACATTTTGCGAGGAGGAATTTCTCCATTATGGCTTATTGAATAGACATGGGTGACTCGTTCTTTTAAATTTTAATCATTTATTCGAATAGCAAACGAATTCAAGTTTCTGGAAATATATATACCTAGTATTTACTCTTATTCTAATATTAGGTTAAATAATTAGTTGTTGATGACAAAATGTTACTATATTATTTATTATAGTACCTACGGACTACGGCTTTATCTACAAGTTAGGTCCAATCCAACTATTATTTATTAAATTTGTAATAAAATTATTATTGATGCAGTCGTGCGTGTACAAAAACAAAACGTTGTATATATATATGAGGATAAAATTAGAATTGATCGTGTCATCATAATAAATATTATTTTCCATAATATATACATACCTCATTTATGTGAGTTGGCCAACCATGGCACCACCGGTTATTTGAAAAAAAAAAATAAACGACAATTTCGTAAATTGTAATCAACAGTTAGGCATTGATATACATACCTAAATTAGTGATTGCATAATATTCGCATTGTCACCGCTGATTATAATATAACAATAACATCATTCATCAACGCTTGATAATAATTATTGACAATGTATTCCTATCGAATTATCATATGTTTCACCGTCAGTATAACCACGCAATATGAACATAAATATGCATTATAATTTGTTCTGACCATACTTAACTGTAATCCSCAAATCCCAATCCCTATATACCTATATTTATGGCACTAGCTATCAATATTAATGTCTTAAAAAAGTATATAGGTATACTTAAAATACGATAAGTTTTATCAACCAATGTCTTCAATAATAGTATTGTATAATGTTAAATTATCTAGAGTCTAGAGGTCATGATATTATTTTGTAGCTGCTTAGAGTGGTCTTCGTTATAACTTGTAATAGAAACGTAAAAACTRAAAACCATATACCTAACATGGTAGGCCTAATAACATAATAAATACCATCTACCACAAAGCATATTGCGACGCAGCACATATGGACAAGGGACGTCGGGGTTTTACAACATCCATGTGTTTGGTATTATTTGGACGTCAAAGAAGAACGGTCTGATTTTTCGGGTGTTTTTTGTTAAAATCGTTGAACGTAGGCGGGTCCGTCGTTAACGTTACCAAATTGCATCTATAGTTTATWCTTTATTGGTACCATATTGTCCACATCACACGTGGTTGTATACAATAAACTGCGGCGATTTCAATATATTTGTCGTCGTGTTATTCGGTTATAACTTATAAGTCAAATGCCACCGAAAAACATGTGGTCGAATTTAATACAACAATAATTTACAACATGGTATTATATAGTAKTGTATATAGCATAGGTTGGGAGTACGTTAAGTTCTTAGAAGAAAATAATTTATTTTTACTAAACAATTCTCTCCAATAAGTGAAATTATAAGAAATATAGTTAAATATAGTATACATGAATATAAAATGAT